AGAGGGTTTAAATAGAAGATCTACAAGTGGATCCTAGATATAGCAATTAGTAAGTAACTATAGATAGAAATAGATATTTTTAATTTATAAATTAGCTAATCAAATTCTAGTTTAATAAAAATTTTTAAAAAAAATTTATATTAGTCAAAATTTTCAAAATAATATTTTAGCTAATAATTTTAGTTTTAGAAAATTAAAAAAAAAATTTTCTATAATAATATAATAATAGTATCAAATAATTAATTTATAAAAATTTTTTTTTATTATAATATTAATATAACTAGTTATTATTATTTTTATTTAAGCATTTCTATTTTTACTTAGATTATTTTAATCTATCATATAATATTTGACAGTAGTGGTTCAAAAATGCTACTAAAAATATTTAACCAGTTAAATTACATGACTTCTATTTGTACAATGATGATTATATGATACTGATATATTATAATAAGTTTAGTGTAATTACATAGAATATATCAAAAAATAAAATATAAAATCAATAATCGTATTTTGGCATAGTAACTTTGATCTGCTTATTTTTTTAAAGTTTGTATAAGAATCTTTTTTTGAGCTCTAATAAAAAATTTTCTCTGAACTATTTTACTATATAAAACATTTATATAGTATATAACCTCAATATAATTGTTAGCATTATATACTTAAGTTAAGGCATTTTTTTTAGTTATTATATACTCATGATTTTTTTAATAATTACAATAAACTTTGTAATATTAGACTTATATTTGCTAATTTAACCTTCAAGTTTATTATTACTTTGTAGTATTAAGCTCATATTTGCTAATTTAACTTTCATGTTTATTATTTTACTAATCAGCTTTATTATTTGCTTGTTAGTAAATTTGAAAATAAAATCATACAAATATTCTAACTATTTTTACAGTATTTACTTCTGCTTTTTTTCATTATTAATTTACTTTTACTTTATAAAAATAAGCATTAAACAATCACTTATTTCAAATAATATTTTGTTAAATATAAATCTTAATAATAATCTTGATACAAATGTTGAATCTCTTGATCTTGAAGATGATTTTGACAATAATTTAAATAAAAAATTTAACAGAAATTTTGATAGTAGTCCTA